GCAGAGGCAGCTGCTCCTTGGAGAACTCGCTCCCTATTCACATGCAGCCTCACGTGGGGTAAACAGGCTTTGCAAAAACTCGGACACCTCTGTGTCTTGCATATGGACATCAGGAACCCAAGGAAGATGATTTCATGTGGGATTGCAGATTGCAGCAACGCCAGCTCACTTTGTATAACAATGTCGTTATGATGCTCTGGAACTGAACTAATTGGATTTGTTTAAAATGTAACCAGCTTTCTCCCACCAAGTCAGTGAAATACAAAGAAAGAAAAATAGAAAGGCTTTAGCTGGCTGATCTTTGCTGCCTTGAATATTTTTTAATAAAGACTCGGTATGTGCAAGCTAATTATATTGACTATTTTGAGTATTAATTTTATGCTTCAAGGTTATCAACCACCTTTGTATATACAATTTACAGGAAAATATATGGCTTAATCTCAAAATTAAGATGCCAAATAAACCAAATAACACCATGTTTCATGACTTTCAAAGTGTATTGTCTCCTTGGCAATGCTTTACCAGAGCCCAGATATCCAACTGCCACTTTAGAAAAGAGATTTCGCAGTTTCAAGTAGATGCCTGGTAAAGGGGATTTAATCCCTAATTAACAACCTTTCTGTTTAGGCCAGATATAAAAGGTCACAGAGGAAAAGCAATCTTTCCCTTATTGAGCTTCTTCAATGTCCTTATCCAGAGATCACAGAGTCGTGAGAGTGGTTTCTGAGCATGTTATACAGCCCCACTGACAAACATCGACAATCCATGGGAGATTATAAAATATTTAAGATTATAACATTTGATGTCCAAAGTTCCTAGCTTACTTAGTTTGATTTTTGTCTGATTCTTCTACGCAAAATGTATGATCATTTAATTCTGAATCAGCAATCTTCCACAGATGATCTTCAGCTCCTAACGATCAAAGGATATTTCATCTTAAAGGGTGTTATGTCCCTCAAGTGCATATGGGAAATGAAACCATTATTGCCAGTAGTCATGATGTTATCTGTATTCACAGGTCTCTGTGCTCTAAGAAGAACCAATCATGACTTGCTACATCGATAATCCCGTGGGAAATTTGTAATGATTTATTTTCCTGGCTTATTAAAAGCCTAGCCAAGGCTCAAATGTCTCTGGATACCCATAAAATTAGAAAAGCATTGCCATAAAATTAAGAAATAGGAGCTAAATATCCATACAGAAAGAGATCCGACAAATATTCCCTGATGTGAATTATTTGCATTAGACAAACATTTCCAGTAAGAATTTGTTGTTGTGAAATTCAGCTTCTTAGTTTTATTGCTTTATCATAAAATTCATTTATATCACCATTCAGGTTGGTTTTTTTTTATCTCATCCTGAAATAATATACAAGAAGAAACTAGTCCCTTTTATGCTTTGTCATTTATTTATTTAATAGTTTCTTGAGATCGGGTCTTGGGTAGCAGAGTGAGTGGCCTTGAACTTGCTAAATTGCCACGGTTGTCCTTGAAATCCTGACCCTTCTGCTTCTGCTTCCCAAATGCTCACTTTAAAAAGGTGATACACCTAACTTTCTCATCTTAAGTATAGGAAAGTAATTATTTTAGCAAAATACTAAGTTTAAAATTTGGAAAGGTTATATAATTATTGTTTGATAGGATTCAGAATTAAAATTTAACTAGAAATGTCTAGAATGTAACTAGAAATTAGTCTCAGAATGTAACTGAGTTATATAATGACTATAGTTGGGTATTAAATCTGAAGGTTAAATATTTAGACATGATTTAGCATGTTATAGATAAAATATAAAAATACCTCATTAAAATGATTTTTGCAGTTGTTTCATACAGTCACAGACTATGTAGAAAGGTTTGTGGAAAAATGGCTCAGTGGTTAAAACAGTTGCTACAGGAACTACTGAAGTTTGGGTCCCTGGAATCCATCTAGGCATCAGGCATGCCCACTGGTGTGCTTATAACTCCAGTCTCAGATAATGGAGACAGGGCATCCCCAGAACAAGTTTCCCAGCAGGACTAGCCTTAGGGTAAGTTCTGGTTTGAATTATGACAACCTGCATCAAAGGAATAAGATGGAACAGAAATCCAGAAAGATTCCAATATCAAATCTGACCCTCCACACTTATTTTCATATATAGACATGCACACTCAGCCACCTCCACACATGTGAACAGGAATGCACACATCATATTTAGAAACAGGCAAAAGGAATAAAAGGAAAAGAATCCTTATGGATAAACTGTTTAAAATAATGAATTTGAAGATTATAGAAAAAAGAAAGCAAAAATATGTTTATAAGGGTTACACATGTGAAATTGAATGCATAGCTCAGTTGGTAGAATACTTGTCAATATACACAAAGTCCTGGGATCAACCCCAGTGCTGCATAAAGCTAGGCATGGTGGCCCACATCTGCCACCCCAGCAGTTGAGAGATAGAACAGGAAAGTCAAGGTCACCCTCATCTACATAAAGAGTTTGAGGCTATGCTAGACTGCAGGAAACCCAAAACAGTAACAACAACTAAACTGATAGGTAGTTAAAATACCTCTTCTTCTAGAGGACTCAGGATCCATTCCTAGCGCCTGCATAGCAGCTTACACCTGTCCAGAACTCCGTACCAAGGAATCCAACACTCTCTTGTGACCTCTGTGGACACCATGAAAGCATGCGGTGCACAGACATGCATGCAAGCAGATCACTCTTAAACATAACAGAAATCCAAAAAATTAAGAAAATTAAATTATTCGCATATTATGACTCATACATATTATATGAATAATTTATTTAAGGAGTAGCTCAATATTATATTATTTGTTTCTCAAATAATCTACAGACCCAACACAGTTCAAAGGAAAAAAAAAACATAAGAGATTTTGAGTACAAGTGGGTGAGGAGCTTTGTGTGTTTGGATGAAGTAATGGACATATAAGAATACTCAACAAATTTATTATATTAAGAATTTTTTCAATTCTAATAATTAGTGTTAGTAGGGATACAATGTAGCTTCTAGTAGCTTTTCAAAAACAATAGATCAGATACATTGTCTCATCCATCCAGTGAGACATTCTGTCAGTAAAAATGATGACGCTTCCAAATTTTCTCCAGTGAAAAGTGTTTCTTACATAGTATGAAATGAAAATGGGAGCTACAAATGGCGGACGGGACAGGATCAAATTGTAAAGCATATATAAGAATTCAATGACGTGTACATATAAACACGAAACGCGGTTTTGTGAGAGAGGGAGCATGGAGGCACGGAGGGCAACACTTCAGGTTTCATGTTTTGGACATTATGGAGGTTTTCCTTTATAAAAATGCATTGTTTTATAGTCATGAGAGTCCACTTCAGCACTGTAGAAAGAACGTCTAATAAAATTGAAAGAAGGAGATAAAGATAACCTCCAGGAGAAAGAGAAAATTCAGCCCTTCAGCTCTTGAAGAAAGACCTCCTATTCTTCTGTTTGTCATCACAGAGCGACTACAAGAGGGGACGCTGCTAGACGGAATCCCATGTGATACAGTCCCTTTGTTTCCAGTCCCCTTTCCCATCATTCCACAGCTGACAGTGAGGGAGACACAGGGGTGGCAGAGTCTCAATTCATGGACAGTATCCTCCTGTCCTTCTTATACCGAGGGGAGAACTCCATCTCCACAGTGAGTGACAGTCCATCACCTGACACGGTCTACACTAAAAACCCACCTCGGCATTGTCACAGGGAGTTTCGTAAGGAAAGAGAGTTATGGGAGTGTGTGCTCTGGCAATGTGTTTAGTTTAAATACTTTTAACAAAACCTTTAATTTGTCTACATAGTATTCTGGGTTTAAAATAGTATATTTATGACTACTGCCTAACATAAAAATTCCACCGAATGAAACTACTCACCATGAGAATGGTATAATTACCACAGCCCATGCTTACTATATGGCAGGACTTAAGAAGCACTTTCTATTCCTAAGCCGATGATACCTCAAAGCGACCTTTGAGAAGCATTCTGTTCACATACCTCTTTCATCTATGAGGGAACAATTCCAGAAAGTGAGGAAGGCCTTGTCTAAAGACACCAAGACAAAATAAGACAGAGCGGGATAGACACAGACAAGCTGCCTTAATATAACAGATTTGCCTTCAGTTTTACAAAAAACTCAAAATTATATAAAGATTGCAAAAATATTAGTAAGGGCTCTTGAATACGCTCACGTAGCTTCTCTTGTTCAAGTTTCACCCATACATTTGCAACAAACCAAAGCGCACATTTATGCATGGACATTAGCTAAGCCCCCACTTCATGTACATTCCTCTGGTTTTCCCACTGTGTTCTGCTGATCCAGGGATTCATCCTTGCCACCACTTTCCTCGGGGCTGTGTCGTGCTCTCAGGGTCCCCCAGATCATGACAGTTTGTCAGATGTCCCTTGTTTTTGATGACAATGACACAACCGTTTGATGAGTGTGCATAGGGAATTTTGTAGAACGTCCTGCCTTTTGGTTTCATAGTGAGAGAGGAGTTATGGTTTGAGGAAGATGACAGAGCGGTGTGCCGTTTTCCTCATCTGCCACCATGTGACTTCTCATACCTGAGAACAGTCTTAAAGACCTGGCTGTTTCTCTGCATTCACCGTCCCCCCCCCCATGCACCTACCATTCTCCATATTCAATGTTACAGACAGTTCACAATCAAAGCCTACTGTGCAGGCATGGAGGGGAAAGCCTAGATGAGATCTATCTTCTCAGAAGTTGGGGGATCTCTACATACTTTATTTGAAACCATTATGCCTGCATATTAATTACAGCCCATCATTCTATACTCCTCTTATCTCACTCATTCTTACAGTTCTACCATTTTATTCACATATGATAATTTAAAGGCACATTTCCTTTCTTCTTAAAGGCAATAGCAAATGTGACAAAAATGTTTTAAAATATTTCCGGCAGATCATTAAGTCATTAAGTAACTAATTAGAGACACATTTTTCCGAGAAGCACTTTGCGCAAAACTTACCAGAAATATTCGTTCAAGTTGATCCTGAATGTCTTTCATCCCTGGAAAAGCGGCGACTCCCTGGATCATCTCAACAAAGATGCAGCCGACTCCCCTGAAGAGAAAGGAATCATTACAAAAACTTCAACAATTCTGCTTACAAGTCCAGATCAGAGATTAAACCCCACCCCAGGGACGAGGCACTGAATCAATAACAGTCTCAATGATCAACCCAAGCTGAGATACCCCTAGACTCACACTCTGCACCCCACTTTCCCTATTGCTCGGAAAGGGCCCAAAACATGCGCAGCTACCCTGGCTCTGAGCATGATGGAAACCAATCAAGAAGCAGGTTTCAGTGGTCCCTTTACACCTGTAGGTCACAGTGAGAACGTCCTTGGCTTGACACAGGGGAGCCTCAGAACACCCTTTCCATCTCCCTTCCAGCTATATTTCACAGCTCGTAATGGGCTATACTTTCAGATGCTCGGGGAACTCTGAATCAGCATCATCAGGGCAACTTTTAAAAACCACAAACGCTCCTACCACAAACCCCAAAGATTCTGCCCAGGCATGAGCTACTGAGATGGCTCAAGGCATCTACACACAGGACTGCTGAGTCAGGCTCGCCACTGGCCAAACAGAAATGCTGACATAACCTTACCCTACAGCACCATCTCTTTACCTACTTACTCTTGAGCTCCAAACACAATTCAGCCTCTGCAATCCTGCATCAATGTCATCTCCTCCAGGAAGCCTTCCCTGGACTTCCTAGCAGACAAGACAGTCCCCCCGCATGAGCTTACACTAGGCATACCCTTTCTCAATGCACCCATCATCCCGTGAGCTCAGCCTTGCCACCTACCTGAACTGCCTGCCATGCTCACAGCACAGTACAGGCCAACAGCCAGTCAAATGCCTGTGCTGAGATTTGGAAGAACAAGGTATTTAGAATAGGACGGTGGGAAACTGGAATAAACCAGAGAAGTCATGCTAATGGCAAAGAACTAACATAGAGCTCTCATTCCTGCACATGAAGACCTCTGACCTGCTCTGGTTCCTGCCTGCCGGAGACCAGAGTATATAGACAGCTCTTAATTAATAATCATTCGTTATCATTTTTTTCCTGTTTCCCTCTTGAATGCATTTAGGTTTCCTGACTAACCATACCACGCCATTTCTTCAAATGCTGTATTTGCTTTGATCTAGGGAAGGGAACCATCGGCTCTTTCACTTATGTCAGAATCCCTCGGGGTAAAAGACAGGCGAGCGACCCACTTCTGTGCAGCTGCTCCAGTTGTCACCACAGTTGTGACCAACACCGTTCTGCATTACAATCATACATTAGTAGAAATGCCTTTCCTGCAATCCGTGCCACATAACTTCAACTTAAACACACACCAGGGTGTGTGCTGCCAAAACGTCTGCACAAAGTCCCGCGTTACATCATAAACACAATTTCACTTGGGGAATGAGAATTAGTTTCATATCATTCTAGACAGATGGAGCTCAGACGTCTGATTACATCTACTTAAAATGCTAGTACGGTGGTTTTCTAGATGTTTTTTTTTTCTGTCGAGAATTCTTTCCAAGAATACTGACCTGAGTTTTCACTGTCTACATTGTGGATTTGGAATACCCACACCTTCCTGTTTGTACGCAAGAATAAACTCTCTCTTCCCTGCCTTCTTTCACTCTGCCCCCATGCCCTGCAACTCTGACTCGGAGGAGCCCCAGCAGAGGCCAACCACATCCTGTCTGTGCAGAGCTGAGCTGCCTGGTGGGCTGGGGAGGTAAGGGTAACACTGCCCACAGAATTTCTTTTACAGCTTCATTTATTAGTTTACGTCATCTCCAAAATATGATATTTAGAAGATAAACCTACACTACAGTTCTGTTAAGTTGGAACAAAATGATAGTTACTCTGTAGGCTTTTAACTGCTTACCTTGCTAAGGGATTTTGACTTTTGCTCCTAATGGATGTTTCCTATGACATCATATTCCTCAAAGGCACTGAAAGGTACATTATGTTTCGAGTTCTATATTAAGTTTTTAAAGAGGATTTTGTTTTTAGTTAGTATATGTGTGGGAGTGGGAGTACATATACAAGTGAGCATAGTACCTGTGGGAGCCAGAGCCTCGGGTCTCCCGAGACGCAGCTGTGAGCCCAACAATGTGGACACTGGTACCAAAGACACGTCCTCTAAAAGAACATATATTCTCTTAACTGCCAAGGCTAATCTCCAGCCCTCAGGGATTTTGGCTAGTGGTGATATAGAAATTATAATGCAAAAGAAAATGAAATATAGGATTATACAATAGAATTACAAAATTATTAGTGACCTTATAGAACACAAAAAAGTAGAATGATACAGTGTATCAGTATTATTAAATGCTGGTTCCTTTTTACTGGAACTGCCAAACAGCAATAAAAGTCCTTTGACTTCCCATGAAGGAACCATTCTGTGTGCTCTTCTCTTTCTCTGCCCCATCAGTTGTGTGCCCCTTCAACAGACAGAGTAAGCCGACTGCATCGAACTGTTTGCTGAGAATGAATTCATCTCCTTCTGCACTACACTTAAGAAATGATCTTGTGTACGGGACAATGTCCTCTTGGAAAGTTCTTTTCAGAATTTGAACGATTCTGTAATTCTTCACTAAGAATAAGACAGGCAGCACTGCAGAGATGGCTCACCGTACTTGCTCCACATGCATGAGGACCCGAGTTCAAATCCCCAGCATACACATCCAAACCTGGACATGACCAAGCCTTCCTGCCATCCTAGCACTGTTGGGGCTGAGGCAGACAGGAGGATCTGGGGCTTGTTGTCACCAGCCTAGCTCGAGGTTATGTGGGAGACTCTGTCCCACCAGATGTCACCCTCCAGTCTCCACATGTGGGTGAGCCAGCCCCTGCTCCTGCACACATGGGCATAGAGCACATGAGTACATGTAGCTATAAAGAAAGAACATGGTCTGGTGACGAAGGCCCAGTTAAAAGGTCTCATATGATTCAGTTGACTGAAAGCCGACTTTAGCCTTGCTTGGCTGGTAAGGTAACTTGATACAGCCAGGCAGGAAGACATAGCTTTCAAATTTTTGAAACTCAAGCTTTACAAATTTAACTTAGGTTACCAGTACACTGATGCTTTTTTTTTTTTGAGTTAACATGCACAATAGTGGATTCTAGTCAACACCACTAGCCAAAATCCCTGGGGGCTGGAGATTAGCCTTGGCAGTTAAGAGAATATATGTTCTTTCAGAGGACGTGTCTTTGGTACCAGTGCCCACATTGTTGGGCTCACAGCTGCGTCTAGGGAGACCCGAGCCTCTGGCTCCCACAGGTACTATGCTCACTTGTATATGTACTCCCTCACCCACACATATACTAACTAAAAACAAAATCTTCTTTAAAAACTTAATATAGGACTCGAAACATAATTGATAGTTCTTTGATATAATAAGCAATGACAAATACCCTTTCAGGCCTGGATAGCTATAATTTCGTAGTATTCATTGTGAAGAAGGAATGCAAAGTTAGGCACAAAAATAAAGTATAAAAATGAGTTCAAATAAACTTAGTCAAAAGAGCTAAATGATTTTAAATGCTGAAATGTAATCGACAGTGTGGGAATAATCAGTATTGGTCACTAATGCCACAGAAAAAGTACTCTATCTCTTTCTGTAGTTTGGCTGGGTAATCTATAGTGAATTCATATCTTAAGATGTCACTAAAAAGTCATTTCCCTTTGCTTCTCTTCTTTCATTGTTTATTGGTTTTCAGTAATGCTAGACTCAAAGTCATGCCTGGCTCCTACCAGGCAAATGGGTCTATCTCTGTGCTGTATCTGAGCCCAATACCTTTTCTTCCCTCCCCTTGGCTGCATCATCTCATAGAGAAGCAGGAGAGGAAGACAGGAGAGTATGGGGACACGGGAAGGGAAAGACCCTTCTGGTTAGAAGCAAGTAAGCATTCCAGCACAGTGAACAACTGCTTAGGTTTCCCAGGTAGAACCCTGCAATTCTGTAGAAATTTCACGAGCAACCCCTTGTGCAATCCCAAAAGCTCCTGGTTTTATTTTATCAGATTACAAACCAATCCAAAGTGCCCTACCCCAGTCTAATCCCATCAGAATGAGAAGGATGACAAGGGGGGTCAGGGATACAGGGGTGGGGAGCTTCTTAGCAACCTATTGAGATGTAACTGAAAGCTACCAAATGGTATCTCTAACTCTTAGACACTTGTGATTCTCCTGGAGGAGCCCACACCACACTGACCTCTGTCATATTCTTCCATTTCTCTTAACTCCTATGTTTAAGCTTTGAGTTTAGAAAACTATTGCTTATTAGACTGCAGCTGTCACTTGAGGGGCTCACAGCCATATTGGAAATGCCGTTTTCTGTCCCTGAGCATCTTCCTCTCTCTTGACCCTTGTGGTTGAGTATATAACCAAATTCTAAAACTGGATGGAATGGGGTGAGGTTACCAAAACCACCTACTGATATGCATCCTGAAATATCTGTTTATTAAAATCCTGATCAGACTTGATGTTAGAGTGTGGTGACATTAGCCAACACTCACAGCACTTTGAAAGGCTGATGCAGGAGGACAATGGGTTCAAGTCCAGTCTAGGCTACACAATGAGACCCTGTCGCAAAACATAGGAAAAAAATAGGTATGAGGACCTTATTATATCTGTCACCAAGCATATTTGATCCCAAGCATAATATAAATGGTTGTCTCTAAAAGAAAAGTAACATAGTATTATTCATTATTATTTCTCCAGTTTACATTAATCTAATTTTGGTATTATCCCAAACAGGTAAAAAACTAAAACAGTGTTTTCCTTCACTGGATTTCAAATCGAGTATTTGGTTCAATCTCAGTGAACAATGCAGAAAAACTCTACTATTGTATAGTATGGTCTAGTTCAGAATTGAAAAAGTTACATATTTTGTTTCTACTTTTATCTATTAGCAAAATCTTGGTATTTCCAATGTGGGAGCTCTGTAAAGGAGAAGTCAGAGTTTTAGTCTCACATTAGCGGACTGCTTGTCGTCCCAGCTGCTCTGCTAGCTTACACTGAAATAATCATACAGAAACTGTATTAATTA